AAACTTACAGGATCAAAAAACAAACAAAAAAAATGGATGGACCACGTGGACATAAACTTCCAAGTTGAAAGCATTCCTTGATTACTAGTGAGTGAGAGAAAAAGACATTGCACACTGTTATAAGATTTCAGAAACTGAAAAAAAAAGAGAGTGAAAAGTTCACATTATAATGACAGAAAAATTATTTCATCCACCTTTTTAAATTCCAAACCTAGAAGTTAAAAGACAATTATTTCTGAGAATATATCCAAAACTTTGAGTGCATATAACTGCAAATTTGAATTTGTACAATCGAAACATTGGGTAAGTGGATGGATTAAATAAACACATCTTTAGCCGTGCGAATTCTCATTAAAAGTATCCAAGGTAATAGGACACAATCAGAATATGTGCTCCACTAACACTATAGAGTTAACTAAGAAAGGAGAACACAGGAGATATAATTAAATTGCAATGTTTCATTAGACATAACACAAAAAATTCCTGCAGTCCTCATTAAACATAAGACAATTGAAATATAAATGCCCTGATAGTTGTGATCTGTTAAATCATATTAAATTGACTTGCAACAGTTATAACACTACATTGAAGTAGGATATGGGATTCTACAGGAGGAAAACATATTGTAGTCTTCACTGAAGCCCTATGAAGTTGGTATTTTTACTATTACCATTATTATGGTCATCATTACTATTACCCTTCAATTACAGATGAGGAGACTTAAGCAAAGGCAAATAACTGACCAAACTCTCACTCCTGGTAAATGGCAGCCATGTCTTTAAATCCAACCCAAGCTGGTCTGACTTTTAAACATCCCACTACACTTTACTCACTGAGTGAAAACACTTTCTGAAGGTTTTATAATTTTGTTTCAGAATTTTGAAAATGGTGTGATATTTTCATATATTTGCAAATATACATACACATATAGATGATTTGTGTATTTAGAGTATTATATGTAGTTCTATATAGAAAACAAATGTGCTATCACAAAAGAGTTATGACAATTTTGTGTTACTTTACCAGGAAACACTATTTCACATAATAAAGTATACACGCTATTTAATCAAAGTTTGTCATTCATCATGGCTGTGGACATGGTAAGGAATGTGACTAGCAAACATGCTAAATACTTTTATTTTTCTAAGATGTTTAAAGTTGATAAATGAAAAAGGATAAAACTAGAAATTTAAAGTAAATTCCTAAGAGAGCTAAGACTCTCCTCTATGATCCAACTTACACAATGAATTTCATTTTAAAAAAGGACTTGAAGTAATGCATGCAATAATGTTTTTATTTACTCATTCAGAAAACATTTTTTCCTGATTTGAATTTATTTTATGAGATGGAACTACTGTACACTACACAAACCATATCTACTGATGAATAGATAAGTGAAAAATTATACTACTGTACAACACACCAAAAAAATTCGTAAGAGGGGTTATGGTAACAGTGAACAAAAGAACTTTATACCTTTAACCAGGTCCTCAGAAATAATGAACATTCCAAACCATGACACTGTTTGACGATGGGAAGATCACTACCTTATAAGAATCAGTCAACAGTCTTCCAGATTATGGGTGTAAGTGCCAGTACTTTGTGGAATGTGTAGCTGTAGTTCCCTCAGCTTTAAGTTTGGAGGAGAAATAAGCTTTCCCTGGAAGCCCTTTAGCCCATGGGGCCTGACGTACACAGAAGGCATTCACTTAGGATCCTCTACCCATGGCTTAACTGGCTAAAAGGTCTTGGATTCTGTAGTGGGGTCAAGGGAAAGAAATGGAGGGAGTGGAGAGCAGTGGCACCAGAGAGTGGTCCACGGTGGGGAAGCACATTGGATTTTGCAGTCTGACTGTTCTGCATGGAAGGACTTCCTAGCCAGCTTGGAGTGAAGGGCCACTGGTATTTTGTCTGGCGCAGGCATAGAAGGGTCCAACTGGTCCCCACTGCTGGTTCCTTCCTACCTTCAGGCACTTCAGAGAAAAACTAATGACACCCTCTGTACAATGGCAATGGTCATTTTCATCCTCAACTGCACCAACTCCCCTTGCCTGTCCAGAGAGGCCAAGGTGGGCAGAAGAGACACAGGTGGTTCTGGCCATGGTGTTTCCATGAATGCATGTGTTGGGTTCTCCTTCAGCTGTCTATGTTGTAACATCTTGTTTCCCCAAAAACAAATAAATATCGAAGTTCATGTTTCATCAAAGTGGAGTTTTGCCACAAAGAAAAATGTTGCCCTAACTCTACAGGACCTGGAGATTATGCCACCTTGACCTTGATATATGTCAAGAGTTTGCACATCAGTATGCTTCTCTGCCAAGACACACATTCAGTAAATATTTATTGAATAACTGTGATTTACAAAGCCCCACAGACTTCTGAAATGTCAACTGTCATTAAAGTCAGTGCTAATGCCATATTGCTACAATGTAGGTTTCTTTTCTCCCTCTTCGCAGAGTCAGATAAGACTGGATATAATTTTTATTAATTTTAGCAATCATGATTCTGACATTCACTCCATATTCTTAATTTATTCAATTTGCACTTAAAGAGTTCCAGAGAAAAGTTAAAGTTCCCATCCTCCAGGATTCAATAAACAAAGGAAGTCAGATTGGATTGGTTTACAAAAACATCAACATATAGCTAGACTTTACCCTAATAGTGGACACTATTCTATGTTTTTAGTCTGGAAACAATATCCAAACATGGTAGGCATTGTTGATAGCTATTTTTATTTACATCATTTCTCTCAGGGTCCTTAAAATGTAATTGTTACCATATGTTCACAAAATGAGAGGGAAGAGTCAAGAATGATTTCCAAATTTCTGGTTTTGGAGACTGAATATGTTGGGAGGGTCATTCAAAAGTATAAAATGACAACAGCAAATACAAGGAATGGGAGATAGTGAATTTCACTTTAGAAATAAGTCCTTGAGACATGAAACAGATGTCCAGAAGCAGATACACAAACAAACATTGGTGTGCTGGTCAGGTTCTAACCTGGTTTGGAGATCCAGATTAGGGGTCATCATGATAGAAGGTATGGTTAAAACCGTAAAGGAAATGTATATAGGGCAAGAAAAGCAGATTTCAAAGAGCTCTAACTACTAGAAAACAGTTATTATAACATTTTGCAAAATGTTAGAAAGAGGAAGCAGAGAGCCTTGAGATGCAGAAAAGTTAGGAAAGAATAAAGACAGAAAAGCTTAGAAGAATTCTCAATAAAAGGTCAAACCTGGATATGGTGGCACACATCTGTAATTCTAACACCTTGAAGGCTGAGGTAAAAGGATAGCCTGGGCTCCAGGCTATGTAACAAGACTGTCTCAAAAACACCAAAAAAAAAAAAAAAAAAAAGAAGGCAAATCAAAACAAAAGACACAGGTCAGTTTTATCAAAGTTTATAGGTCAAATAAGCTGAACACTAAAAGATTTCAGTACATGAGTGCAAATGATTTTTGTCAGGGAAATTTTAGAGAAATTAGAAAATTAGAAGACGTATTTCATGAGTAAAATGGTGAATGGAAAATGGTTTGGAGGCAGCAAGTGTACTACTCCAATTTTCCTACCATGAACATATAACAACATTTTTGCAATAAAATTAAGAAACGAGTGAAATCAGTTTTCCTTAGAAAAAGAAAATTAAGAGATAAGAGAGGGTAGCAGGTTGCAATATTATCTGTTGTTTATATCCTGAGGGTTTAGAAAAAAGAAACAGGGAGGAAAGGCAAAATGCAGTGGAGAGAAAAGATTATTTTCATGAGAAAGGAAATAACTTTTCTTAGAAGATGATATGAGTACAGTATGCATGTAGGGCTACAAAGAGATATGTGTGAATTAGATTTCAGTCTATAAAATCCCCTAAATGTGGATGCATTTCCAGTTGAGTATGTAGCACTAATATTAAAGAAAGGCTAACACTTCTACAATCACTTATGATGAACTTGGTCTAGCTATGTGAGGGGTCCATTATTGTTCTATTGACCTATTGGTGAAAAATCTGAGCTCCAAATGGCCTGCCTAAGGCTAGGAGTAAAGAAAGACATGGCTCAAAAAAGCCCCTCTCCATTCCAGGCCCTCTCCATTCCAGGCTCTCTCCTCTTCACTGTGCTGCTCTTGATTCTACTCACGTGAGCAGTGCTGAGTGAGTCACATAAATGAAACTCCTTGATCTCAGAATAAGATGTACTTTGAAAAACAAAATGATTCCAATCAATCAACAGAATACTGTCTGCAAAAGAAGTGTTTTTGTTTGTGACTTTCCTTAACAGGAACATTTTTTTCTAGAATATAAGAAATGGAAGACATGCATTAAAGAAAAAAACAGCAATGAAACAGAATGTCTTATTCTGTTCAAATGGAAAACATGTGTTTTAATGCGTAAAATCATCCCCTTTTAATAGTTGCTTGGAATAAATTTTAAAAGAATAGGAAATTGATATAAAAATTATTTCTATAAAACAAATTCTATTACTATGTTTAGTGCCAAAATCAGATATAGCTTCCCATTTTTTAAATTTTCAAGTATATTTGTCTATCTCCTTTTCTTTAATCAAACACATCACAGCATCTGTTTTATATCAGAAATGAATAAAATATGTCCACATAAACAGAGAACATTGGCCTTTATTTCTTTGTATTTAATTGTTTTTTTTTTAAAGATCATTTGGAAAAAAATGCTTTAAAATCTTTTTGTTATAGTCGAAATTAGAATTGCCTTCAGTTGCCTGCTAGTGAATGGAATTTATATAACAACTATATTATATTTTTTGAGCTGTGAATTAGTACAGAAAATTGCCTTGAAATTTGTAATAGATTCTTGAAATTAAAATAAGAATTTCCTTTTCTGGGCTGCCTGAATATTGAGGTGCTGTGGTTGCTGGAGGAGTTAAAGTTGGAGCCACTGCTGCATATATATTACAGAGGATTCATAAAAACACGACAGCAGAGACTGGGTCAGTCCATTACTGTGAACAAGCAGTGACCAATAGAAAAGGACAAAGAAGATCCAAAAAGGCTGAGGTAAGCTGTCTCCTGAAGCCATGTCAAAGTAGAAACAATACATCAAAAGGTATTCTTGGTGACTGGTCAGAGTAGGTTTTACTTTTTCTCTCAGGAGGCTTATCAGCATAAAATCAAAATAAATTTTTTTAGTCACTTCTTTTTTTACTCAACCGATTTTTAGCAAACTGCAGACTCAGACACAGGACTCAACGGTATATTCCTGGAAATCAAGGTAAAAAAATTTTTATATGTTTTAGACATTTAAGTTAAGAATTCAGAGCTCTGATTCATGAGATATAGGGTTCAAACTTCAATGTAAAGCAAATCCCTATTCTGAAAAAAATAATAATAATTTGTCTTTGTTGGAAGAAGGCCAGGGCAGCATTCTGCAGTGGTAGGAAATCTGACAGCTTGCAAAAACAGCTCTGCACTTGTCATTTTCTGCAATTTAATGGCAAAATTGAAGGATCAGCATTTCATAAATAACTGATTTTTATCTTTTCCTGAAGGAATCAGTAAAACATTTTCTGGCATTATTAATGTGTTTAACTAAATGTATATTGATCAAAATGTTATATATATATATATGTATACATGGTATATCTCTCATAAGTCAATGTTTAGACTATATTGAATATATATATATAGACAGCTATATAGATATATAGATATAGATATATTTCCTGTTAAAATAGTTTTGTGACCACGATCTCTGATGATATTTAATAAGGAGGGTTTATTTCTTTTAAATGTATCACATGTCAGAAAGTAATAACCTAGTCTTTCTAATTATCCATACTGAAAATATTGAATATATGTGAATTCTCTACCTATATTCTGAATATGATTTTTGTTTTTTATGATGCATAATGATGTCATAAGTTGAATGCATATACGTGAAAATTATGTAAGTAATATGTTCAACTCTATATGATAAACTCTCATATATAGGTATGTATATATCTATATATGTAATACAGAGAGAGATAATATAAGAAGTAGATTACATAAGTTATATATATGAGAGAAGAATTATATAAGAGAATTTATAACTGAATTTCTTGGCTGAACACCTTGATTCTGTGCTTAAAATTATAGAAGTCTTTACCCTGTCAAAATAAGGCTTACCTGAGAAGCACAGGAACCATAAGTGATTAATCAAACTTCTTCAGATCCTAGAACCTTCCTTCTCAATAAACTGCTAAAGTGTTCTTTGATCTGCTCCTTTCTTTGGTTCAAGGGCCAAAGAGCCTGGGAAATCTGCTCCAGATTTCTGCTCATTTAGGAGTAAAAGCAAAAGTAAAAGCATATGCCTACCTCTCAGAAACAACACAGACTCACAACTTGAATGATTAGATCACCTTTTTGGTGCTCTTATTTTAAACTACTGGTTTCAGTTAAGTTCCTTGAGTTGAACAGCTTGAAATGGAAAAGCACTTAGAGCTGCTAAAATTTGCTTTCCATTTCTCAACTGTCATTGTGATTGGGTAAAAACCAGAAAGTTACAAGTTGGTAAATTTGTTTCAATGTTTGAAAAATGCTTCGCATATAATATCTATTAAATAAATATATATTAATTGATATCTAAGCGTGAATAAAATGTTGATATTTTCATTTCTTCCCTGGAGAAGCAATGTTTATGGACCATTTCAATGTATGCCATTATCTGAAGTTACAGATCCTTAAATATCTAACAGTTGTGTCTCTTATTCTGTAGGTACTATAATGGCTAAAAACATCTGTTTCATCATATGGGTGTTATTTATAGCAGATACTGTGTGGGCCCAGAGTGTGAGACAGGCCTATGAGGTACATGAGCCAGAGGACTGGACAGTGGATGACTTTGATTGTCCTGGGGAATGTTTCTGTCCTCCCAGTTTCCCCACTGCTTTATACTGTGAAAATCGGGGTCTCAAAGAAATTCCTGCTATTCCTTCAAGAATCTGGTATCTCTACCTTGAAAACAATTTGATAGAAACCATCCCTGAGAAGCCATTTGAGAATGCCACTCAGCTAAGATGGATAAATTTAAACAAAAACAAAATAACCAATTATGGAATTGAAAAAGGAGCCCTAAGCCAGCTGAAGAAGCTGCTTTTCTTATTTCTAGAAGATAATGAGCTAGAGGAAGTACCCTCTCCACTACCAAGAAGCTTAGAACAATTACAATTAGCTAGAAACAAGGTATCCAGAATTCCTCAAGGGACCTTCAGCAATCTGGAAAACTTGACCCTTCTTGACCTACAGCACAATAAACTATTAGACAATGCCTTTCAAAGAGATACCTTCAAAGGACTCAAGAACCTTATGCAGCTAAATATGGCCAAGAATGCCCTGAGAAACATGCCACCAAGATTACCAGCCAATACCATGCAGCTGTTTCTCGACAACAATTCCATTGAGGGAATACCAGAGAATTATTTTAATGTGATTCCTAAAGTGGCCTTTCTGAGACTCAACCACAATAAACTCTCAGATGCAGGTCTCCCATCAAGTGGTTTTGATGTGTCATCAATTCTAGATCTTCAACTGTCTTACAATCACCTCACAAAGTTTCCCAGAATCAGTGCGCACCTGCAGCATCTTCACCTGGATCATAATAAAATTAAAAGTAAGTAACCATCAGGCTGTTTCTTTGACTAAAATGTTTGTCATCATTACATTTATGCTGTATCTTCTTTAAGAATAGCAATTGGGTCCCTTCCCCCCATTTATGTGGACTTAGATTTTCTATTGTATTTTCGATTTTCTTTACTAATTTTTGTCTATTCACAGACAGTCTTAATGAACCAAGAAGTTCCAATCTTCAAATTCAAGAAATAATCTACAGAGGGCTTTTATCTATGGAAGAAACAAAATAGCTCTTGTTTTACTTGTGAAGATTCTGGTATTCTGATTCTGTGGATAGATTTCTTTTTTTTTTTTTTTTTGCTTCCAGTGTTGAAATCAGAGGCCTATGCCACCACCACAATCTGGCGCTGTGGGTAGATTTGTTTCAGAAAGCGTGCACAGCGCAAACAAACTCATGAATAGTAATAGATGTAATACGAGCTAAGAATTAGGGGAGCAACTCTATCTGAAAAGTTATAGGGCAGTTGATATCTGAAACACCTAAATTGGAGTCTCTGATTAAACTCCTCTAAGTTGAGTGAGTTTCTCAAACTTCAGAGTGTGCAGGCTGCCACTGCCTGATTTTCTAATTGAAAAGGTCTTGACAGGGACCTGAGAGCTTTCATTCCATCCAGTTCCCAAGTGATGCTGACCCTGACTGCTGTGAGAAACACACACTGAGGACCACTCTTGCCATTTAAGACTTTCCTTTTGGAAATAGAAACCAATGCCTCCAGAAGCTGATACCTTACTGGCAAATCCACGAGGTAGAATACACTCTTCTTTTTTGAAAATACCTTTTGGTAGGGAGCAAAGGAACAGTACTCTGTCTTGAAGGCAGTGGGAAGAAATGATTACAGAAAGTAATGGCTGGAGACAATAGAAATATATTTGATCTCTTCATGATTACATCCAAGGTCAGGCAGCAACTGGTATAGAAGAAGGCAGTATCTAAGCCCAGCCGCAGGGGTACAGATATCTGGCCTATCATCTATCTATGCATCTTCAACCCTAGTACAAGTCCTTAAGGAAGATAACTTGGGGAGATTTCTCCTGAACAACCTTCGAAAATGCATTCCTAAAGTGAGATTCAGTCAGAAGTTTAAAGAGATAAGGGAGAAAGGGTTGTGCTTTCTGGTTATTATGCACTAAAATTTCCTTAAACAAAACAATCACATAAGCGTACAATTTACAATAGACTATTTTTGTACTAGGTATTTCTCAAGTATTCAAGATTTGTGTGTGTGTGCATGTGTGTGTACTTGAGCATAAGATTCAGGAATTAAATGGCAGGCTGCCACCACAATGGTTATTTTTTCATAGTGTGGGAAAATAGTGTTCAATCCTGTAATCAAAAGTGAAAGATACAACAGCAGTATATGAATTTGTTTAACTGAGCCAAACAGTGCAACTCCCAAGGATAATCCAGGGGTACCATTTTTTCTGAGAGTTCTGTGCTTCTAAGTCACATTCCTCATCTACAATAAAGGCCCTTGAACAACTGATGTGGGATGTTGATTTCAGCAAATCTACATGGAGCCTTTTTACATGAGGTGAAGATTTCACCCTGAAACTTTGAAAATGAGGGTGTTGAGGGAAGTTGCAGTCTTCAAATGAGGGTGTTGAGTGAACATGCAGCCTTAAGAGCACAGTTTGAGAAGTAGAACATTTGTCCTTCCTAATTTTAGAGAAGTTTTTATTGTATTTTATTTATTATTTTGTTTTATTTTATTATTGTGCTGCTGTACATTGTGACATTTACAAAAGTTCTTACAATATATCCTAGTTGCCTTGTTCATATATTTCTATTTTTAAATTGTCCTAATAACTTAGTGAGCATCAGAAACACCCATAATGCTTGTGAAACAGATTGCTAGCTCCCACCCCCAAGTGTTTCTGACTCAATAGGTCTGGGGTGGGGCCTAATAATTTAATTTCCAAATGGTATTAATGCTGCTCTACAATTCTACAATTGGAGAACAACCATTCTTCTCAGGAATCTTGGGGAGATATTATTAGGCATTTCTACAACAGAGAAAATGAAGGTCACCTTCATGAGGATATTTGCCCAAGGACAAAGAGTAAACACACTAGCCCTAACCAAAGCCTAGGTTTTATTTTAAGTGAAATGAAATGAAATTTCATTTCTACCCATATAGTGTAATATTTATATGTTTCTTCAATTCCTTAATACAAGAATTTGGAAGAAAATTTCTGTAAGTTGAACAGTAGTAATATTAGTAGAAGAAGAAACTGGTTTATTTTCTTCTTAATGTAAATATCAAATGTGATTATTTCTATTTTCCAAGGGAATAAATGTAAAATAAAAATTTTCCTCACTGGAATTATTGGATCATAATTATATCACACTGTGTTATAACAGCTGTTAAAGTACTCAGTTCTTCTTGCCACATAATCTTGTTGATAATTTCATTTCCAAGAAACATAACTTTTAAATGAAAAGGCCTCAAAATTTACTAGTGAACTTTTCTCATGGAGTATGATAAAAATATCTATTTCTGCCAAATATAAGTTACCTAAAACCTGGTGGAAAATGTATCTATTCAAATAAGTTATTTCCTGACATTCTCCAAGAAACATCATAATTAATTTATAAACCTATAATTAAATGTAGAACTCCTGTCTCTCATATTCTATTTATTCAGACATGCACTGGTTATGTGGTGAGAGGATGATAGGGCATGAAATAGCATACTGAAAGGGACATAATTTTACAGTAAGCAACCAACTCCAGGAAGCAGAAAAAAAGACTGGGTTTGGCCAACTATTTCAATGCCCAGGTGAGGAGAATAATAATATTGTTTGATAAAGTCTGTGTGATGATAAAGTGATAATGTATATGAAAAATAATTTTGTAACCACATAACTGCTCTACATATATGACTCATTGCTTTTATCAAATTAAGTTTACAAAATAGCATGAGATTGGAGCAAAGCAACCTTACTGTAAGGATAAAATCATTCCATAAAATGACTCTGCATGCATCAAGGACACAGAAGAGATATACTGCCTAAGTTAGGTGGGTCTGATCAGGAAAGATATCTTATCAAAACAGTTTCAGAAAGTATTACCTTAATGTTAACATTATTGTTTCCTGCATTTAAACCTATTGAAATTCTGTTTAATCACGAGGTAGGAGTCTTTTATGTAAACCAGTGATCTACTGAAGTATTTCTTCCTTGTAATTCTGATTATAGCTTCATCTCTATTAAAATTTTGTCAGTAAAAAAAGAAAGAAATGAAGTATACTACATAGAATATAAACATATATTCATGTTTGAGATTAGCTATTACATTCTTCTTTGGATTTTGCTAGTTCAACATGCCTTTTCTCTTGAGGATGCTCCCAAAACTCAGTAGAGTCATTTTGCCAAGGGCTCTGATTCAAGGCAGGTGCGCAATTTGTCCCATCTTAACCACGTGAAAGAGTTGATGGGATATTTCCAGGCTCAAATCCTTTGTAATTCAATTTTTGGCAAATGTTTTCTTCCTAATTAGATATACTTAGGTATGGGGATTCAAGGTTGTTTTCTGTATTTCATATGAAAGGTAATTGCCCTCTTTGAGATATCACATACTATTTTGCATCTTTTAAGGCAATGTTCAAGCACTTTCTCTTGTATTTAGACTAATTTTCCATCCACCCATTTACCTACCCATTCTTTCAATATCAGGTTTGAATTGTCTCCACCTCTAATCTCCTGGATACCACTTGCCTCTTTCTGTAATAGTTTGAACATAATTTATCTCACTTGTAAGCTAAGAAGAAAAGTAATACATCTGGTGCACCTTTATTTCCTATATTGCAGTTCTTAACAATATTTTCTTGGTAGTGTAGTTGAACATGGAGTGCAAAAACTGATTGGATCTATGCTGCACACTTTTTCAGAGTTACTTTTATAAAAACAGACATGCATAACCAGTAACCTACACAAACAATGGTTTGTCACTCAACCACTTTCATATGTCAGTTTACTAAGCCTGCCATTATAACCACTGTAATAGCTTCTTGGTATTCAACCCTTAGAGTTTCTAGAGTTTCAATTCAATCATTCATGCTATCTTTGTGCCCATAGGTGTAAATGTCTCTGTAATATGTCCTACCACGCTGCATGCAGGACAAGATGCCTTCATTCATGGACCACAACTGAGCTACCTCCGTCTGGATGGAAACGAAATTAAGCCACCAATCCCAATGGATTTAATGACATGCTTCAAGCTTCTTCAGGCTGTCATTATTTAAACACATCTTCACCAAACCCAAAACTGGTGTAAGAGCTAATATTCCTGACATGAAATTTGCTTGCCATTCATAGGTTTAGAACAAAAAATTAGATTTGCATTTGTTCCTGGCCACAATTTTTAATCGTGCAGCCTTTTTTTTATATTCAAAGATGCTTCTGCTAATGACACACAAATGCAGCTTATACTGATTTGCTGTTCTTTAATTAATAAAGCAGACAGAGTTAAGATCACTTATCAACTCAATGATAGGTATTTTTGCCTCTTTCACAGTTTATTAATATAAATAGTTCATTTACATTATTACACAATAAAAAACAAATATTTGTGTGTGTCCAAAATTACTTGTGCAGATGTTATGTTTATAGTGTAAATACAGTGATGAAACAAGACGTAGGAACATCTGAAGAAAATGAAATATTCCTTTGTTTAATTATGATGAAATCAATGTAGATTTCTGAATGGCTTTGGGCACACAGGTTTGTTATATAGCTCAAGAATGGTTAGTAAGTGAGCCAAGTATTTCATAAAAGAGTTCTAGTCATTTAATACTAAATAGCAACACACAAGACGTTTATAGTTTGCTACCATTTTTCTTAACTTTTTCTTAGATATAGTACACGATTCTCTATCAACTAAAGACCTAAATTTTACATTTATATAATGCATTTCTTCCAGAGTTATAGTGTGTTAACACTTGAAATCCACTTGAATTGCAAATTATTCAGCTCTTATTTGGCCAAGAGTTTTGGATTTTCAAATAAAAAGAGTGAATGCTTTCTAGCAAAACAGAAGTATAATATTTGTTTCAAGGTATTATTCACAAGTTTCATTTAGCAACATATTCTAATAAATGTGTCATTGACTTTTTTATTTTTCTAGCATGAATATATGCAGATATATTCTCTTCTACCTAATTTTTCTTTTTCTTTCAGTAAAAACAAGAAAGTTAATTTTATTCTATTTACTTGACAAAATATACCTGTTTGTCATGAGTTAAAAGATAATCCAAGATTCATTATGTAAACAAACATATTTTAGCTTTTTTATTTTTATGAGACATATGTTATAAAAATAAATATTTTATAGAGATCAATACATGGCTTCAAATATGTTTTCCAAACCATATTCTCAAAAATCCCATAAATTTTGATATATATCCCTAACAAAACGAGTTGTGAAACACTAAGTTAAAGAAAGCCCTTCAGAAATTTACATTATTCTATAAAGTGAATTCTAAACAGAGAATATTATGTGCTATATTATCTATTTATGTTCCCACCAAAACTTATTTGGGAGTAAGTTAAAGGACCAATTAGCAGATTTTGAATGTAGTTTCTTAAATGCGGTCTCTAGGCAAGAAAACAGTTATACGTCTGAGGACCTGGCTTTAGTGATAAAGTAGCTTTCTAGCAGGTGAGAAGCACTGACTTCAAACCCCAGAACACAATCCCCCCAAAAAATCTTGTCAAAGCAGATAAGTAAAATTATTTAAAAAATTCCTGTAGAATTATGTCATAAAAACACAGTTATCTGATATAAGAAGACTGGGAACAAATGATATGTGTAGGAAGCATAATAACTTTAAATATGTGAAAGCTTGTCATTTGAAAACGTGTTCCTGCAATCCCCAAAATGAAGAGTAGAATTTCTGGGTGAAATTTATATGCAGTCATATTTTAGCTCTAGCTATGGACAGAATTTTTACATGGTAGTCCTGCTTCCCCCTGATCCACAGTTTTTCTTTCTGTTGTTTCAGTTAACCCCTTGTCAGCCATGCACTGAAAATATTAAATGGTACACTCTAGAAATAACGAATTCATAAATTTTAAATTGTATGCCAATCTCCCACTGTTCCATCCCATTCAGAACATGAATCACTCCTTTCCTCAGGACATTCGTGCTGTATATCCTTCCCACCTGTTAGTCACTTAGTAGCAAGTCATACTGCTACTAAGTATGTGATACTGCTGTCACAGTATCACAGGGCTTGTGTTCAAATAACCCTCATGCAGTGTAGACTACATCAGCATTCCTACATCAATCACCTCACTTCGTCTCACCCTGTAGGCACTGTATCATCTCCCATCATCATCACCATTAGAAGGAAGAATACAGTACAATAAGATATTTTGAGAAAGAGAACTTGTGTTAGAGTATATTGTGTGAGGCCTTGAATTCAAAACCCAGTACTGCCAAAGGGACAAAAAAAGAACTGGATAGAAAAACTGGCCTGGTAAAAGGAAATTTCCAGATGACATCTTTGATAAAACTGGTGTTAGAAATAAGGGCAAAATAGTTTCTGCTGGGTATTGAGGGGGTGGGGAGGAAGGGAGGGGGTGGAGTGGGTAGTAAGGGAGGGGGTGGGGGCAGAGGGGAGAAATGACCCAAGCCTTGTATGCACATATAAATAATAAAAGAAAAAAAATAAAAAAATAAAAAAAAGGAATCCAATGAACCCTCAAAAACAATTGAATGTAAATGTTTGTGTGTTAATATGTATATATATGTGTAAGAGATAGAAAAGAGAAATCAAAGTACTTTTCCCATCTCAAACACCAAACCCAACACTTCACCTCTACTTGCTGTTAGACAGCTAGACTGAAAGAGTCTAGACTGAACAGGCAGGAAACAGCTCAAAGGCCAGTGCAGGATTTATTCAGGAAGAAACCCTGTGGAGGCGGTCCCAGCAAAAAGAGTTGGAGCACTTACAGACTGGTAGTAGATATAGATGAGGGGCTTGGAGGGGAAATTTTGCTGGGAAGGAAAATTTTTCTGGAGGTAATGATTGCTAGGGGAAGCTAGAGGAGATAAGTGATAATTAGATAGATAGGTTGCTCAGTTCCAGGCTCCCTGGCCAGGTGAGAGTTTGTCATTTTCTTTCTTCTTTTTTTTTTCTCTTTCTTTGATTTTTTTCATTTTTACATTTACTTACATGTGCCTTACATTGTTTGGGTCACTTCCCCTCCTGCCCCACTTCTTCCCTCCCCTTCCAGGCAGAACTTGTTCTACCTTCTTGTTCTCCAATTTTGTTGAAGAGAAAACATAAGAGATCACAAGAAAGACATAGAGCTTTTGCTAGTTTGAGATAAAGATAGCTATACTGGCAGATTCCTAGTGTTGCTTCCATGCACTTGTGTATTGCAGCCCACACTGGTTCATCTCTGCCAGACCTCTTCACTACATACTGGTACCCTTCCCGTAGTGGTCTCTGCCAGTTTAAGATTACTATATTCACTCTTCTACAGTGAGCACATCAACCACATTCAAGTTTTAGGTTTCCTTTCCTTTCCCTATTCATTCCATACACATTCTCCCCTTAGTGTGTGATGTGACCCGTGTCAAATAATAGGGCTGCATTTATCTATAATCCAAACCTTGAGGGAATTAGAGTTTCTTGACCAGTGATAAATTAGTACAGGAGAGGGGAACAGATAGCTGGCAGCTAAGTCAAAAGTGCTTGTTATTTGAATCTATAACTAGAAACACCTTTAGAATACAGAGTAAATAAAAGTCAGAATACTACCAGTTAAATAGACTTCTAAGGGAAAATTAGTCCACAAGCATAGATTACTAAAAGGTAAGTTTGGAGCCAATAAATTAGTCATTTTTGTCTTTACTTAAATAGAAGGTGTTTGGCCAAAAACATGAGTTTACCTTCCGTCAGAGGTGCAAGATCACTTCTTTAAAACCTCTTGGCTTTAGTAACTTTTGTGAGATCTGACACAAGTGACTCCATCTGGATTGTGACAGCTTTCCCTTCTTGTCTCCTAACTGTTTATCTCTGAACAGTATCCTCAGAAGATTTTGTCAATTAGCCATGCTGGTTAATGAAAGTACCTTATCGCTAGGAATAGCTTTTCCTGGATATTTTGATCAGGTCCCATGTTGGAGGGGAACATCAGGTAGGTCAAGTGGGAATCAGTGCCAATTAAGACCCATTTGACCAAATTATTAACAAAAAAGAGGTTTAGAAGAAGTGATCTTACCTGGCATCCATTTTTAGTTCTGTTTGGACTATGGATGATATCCTGACACCTTAAAAATGCTGCAGAATGTCAGCAGACAATACTTACAGGTTTGACAAGGAGAATACAAAAGGCCAACAAAAGTGAATATTTAAAAGGCTGACTCAATTGAAAAATAAGTACTTGTTAGAGTTATTTTTGGGAGTTTGATTGCAAATGTTCCAGAGAAGGACCCAGACTGCAAATGACAAGACTTAGAAAAGCCATGGTTAAAATACTTAAAAGTAGTTTAGGAATTGTCAGACCATCTAGTTATTTCCATCACAGAGAGCATTTAGAAAAATAATTACGACAGAATTACAACTGCAACGTCAAGTGCTCCTTGTTACGATTAGGAACACATGGATACAAGTGTGTAAAATCCAGTATCACTAAAATTTTAATTTGGAGAACATCTATATGGTAAAGATTTCTTCATAAAAAAGGCTTATATTTTGGGGGAGAATAAGTGCATTACAAAGAAGTCAGCAACAATTAGTATCATTGCTACTGAGATGTCAGATATACATGTTAATTAACTTTTTTCTTAAAGTAAAATTTAGAATTTTTGGATAGGTAAGATAATAGGTGCATAGCACTAATAAAAGTGAAAACTTTAGATAACTCATAAGTTAAGGGGACAGTGCCTGTGATCCCAAATAACCTTATTTCCATATTGTACAAGTACATTTCATATATACCATAACACTTATTTGGCTAAGGCAAACATAGGCGAGGTTTTAAACAGCAGGTTTTCCCAAATGGCATGGGTTTTCTAAATGTTACTGATTACAAACAGCAGAACTGACAAAAGTTTCATTAACAATTTTATGTGCCAAAGGTTTAGGTGTAATGCTTTTGGATAAAAGAGAGCTTTAGCTGGTCATTATACATATATTAAACCAACACACTTTTAATTCTATAAATGTTTATACAGTATTTAGATAAAGTCTAGACACACAGCTCTACATGTGTTTATTCACAAATCTATAGC